TCTTGATCTAGTTTCTTTTACAAGTGGAAACAGTTTCAGCAGTTCCTTCACCTGTTCACATCAGGCAAAGTACCGACTGCACTCAAGCAGACAAGGCTTGAAAACTCTTTTAAAAATGTCCAAAATTTGATGTGACTCTGCAATTTGACATTTGCTAAATAATCCTGAGTGAATAAAGAAATACACAGACAACCAATTTAAGGTAGGTTTGAAGTATGGAGCATTTGAGCAGACTAGAAGTTACACATATCAATGCGCAGGACCCTATTCTTTGCAGTGAAGAAGATCATGCTCACATATTGCACATTTCAATTTAACAAAGCAGGCAATGCTATTCTCTTGATCAATCCTCAGCTCAGTGCTTTGACCAACCAAAGTCAACCTGTCTGGTTTAAACAAAGCTTAGCAGTTAACTATCAGTCATCAACTAATTAGCATATTCTCCATGGCAACAATTCTCCCAATTAGAGTATGCTTGCCAACCAATCAGCACTTCCTTCTCAATGTTGTTTCCTTGATATTGGTATTATTTGCAAATGCCCCGAGTGCAAGACAAAATGCCTTTTTTCAGCAAAATCAAGTTCTGTGCTAACAATCAAAGTTCTTGAAATCATTTAATAGATTTGACATTTAAAGGGTATTCCATTAAAACATCTTACCTCATTGCCATTTAGTATCAATGTTACATCCAATTTAGAATGGCTGTCAAAAAAGACTGAGTGATTGAAGGAAAATATTTTCTACCATATTCAGTAATACTTCAGAATCAGAATAATGTGGGACTGGAGCTGGTAGTGATCCTATGCACCTATTGCCTTTGTCATTTTAGGTGTTTTCCAACATTTGAGCTCATGCTGAAGTCAGAGCAAGTTTTGCTTAAATTGCACAGTGCTCCATTCAGGCCTTACTATTTGTACTGGTTGGCTTTAAGCTGAACTTTACACGACAGATATTGAGGCCCTGAGGGTGGTTCAGATAGGAGCCACAGTGCAGCCAACATCAGCCATCCACATTGAGCGGGGAAAGTCTGGCGGAGATTTCTCAGCCTTGACACGACAAAAGAACTTGACAGCAATAGGGCATTTGCCATGGTTGGATCATGATTGATCTGGTTTTGGTTTCAGTTTCATTGTCCTGATGGATCCCTTCACTTCTGTTGTGATGGAGGCTAGAGTTCATTGTTGCTGTAGGCCAACTACGCCATAACAAAAAGTACTTTCTCCAGTTATCAAGATGGCCAATACCTGTTAATTTCAGATTTTAAAGAACAATCAGCCAGATTTCTTAGTAAACACACTTATTGGTTTATTATCAAAGCAAACTTATTCAAGCAAGATGCTATAATTGGTTAGTTGTCTGTCAGTAATATAGAAGAATATCCCTCTAAATAATCCTAAAAAAAACACGCGTGTATTTCAGAAAAAGAGAATAAAAGCTTTCGGTGCAGAGACTGGATTTCCAAAAAATACCTTTGGCCAGCAGGATATTCCACAAGGCAAAAACTTAAAGTGCAAAATGTTTCAGAGCCTGTTACTCTGGTGTCCTGGCATGTATGGTGAAGTCACTAATCATAAACTGTTGCCTGTAGGTTTTGCAGACACAGCCTTGCTCAGGATATACAATCTTAAGATGTTTCTTCAATCACATTTAAAAAATAGGTTTCACCTTGAACTCACCAAAGAGCTTTCCTTTTCAGAAATGAGACACACCAGTTGGGCTGTCCTTGCTCGAAGCAGGATTTCCTGCAGCTTAACCAGATAATGAAAGCACCTCTTCAAGCTAGTCACTAGGGGTTTTATGGTGCAGTGGTAGTGTCACTCACTACCCCTAAACCAGGAGACGTAGGGACCATATCAAAGGTGTTCCAGAGGTGTGTAATAACATCTCTGCACAGGTTGATTAAGGAAAACATCTCCAAGCCAGTCACTGTGCAAAACCAGTCCCAGCAAAGCAAGCAGTTGTCACCATGGAGTCAAAGAGTTACGTAGCACAGAATCAGACCCTTTGGTCCAACTCATCCATGTCGAACAGATATCTTAAAAACTGATCTAGTCCCATTTGCCAGCATTTGGCCCATATCTTTCTAATCCCTTCCTATTCACGTACCCATCCAGATGGCTTTTAAATAATCACCTTTTTCTCACTCAAGATGCGGGTGTCACTGGCTGGGCCAGCATTTATTGGACATCTCCAATGGCACTCGAGATGGTGGTAAGCTGCCTTTATGAACTGTTGTGGTCCATTTGGAATAAGTATACCTACAACACAGTTAAGGCAGGAGCTCCAAAATTTTGACTGAACGACATTGAAAATGTGATATATTTCCAAGTCTGGATCGTGATTGACTTGAAGGGGAACTTGGAAGTGTAACGTACCCATGTATCTGCTACCCTAGATGGAAGTGATCATGGGTTTGGAAGAACCTGTCTAAAGAGCCTTGGAATTTCTGCAGTGCATCTTATAGATGGTACACAATACTACGACTTTGCACTGGTGGTGGAGGGGCTGAATATTTGTGGATAAGGTGCCAATAAAGCAGGCTGCTTTGTCCTGGATGGTGTCAAGCTTGAGTTTTGCTGGAGCTGCACCCTTCCAGACAGTATTGAGAGTATAGGCTGTAGAGAGTATTCCATCACACTCCCAACTTGTGCCTTGTAGATGGTTGTCAAGCTTCGGGGAGTCAGGAGGGGAGTTACTTGCAGCAGTATTCCAAACCTCTTACTTGCTCTTGTACCAACTGTTTTAATGTGGCAAGTCCAATTCAGTTTCAAGTCAATGGTAACCCCCAGCATGTTGATAGTGGGGGATTCAGTGGTGGTGATGCCATTGAATATCAATGGAATGACAGTTAGATTCTCTCTTTTTGGACATGGTCACTGCCTGGCACTGAGTCCAGAATGTTACTTGTCAGCCTGCGCCTGGATATTGTCCAGATCTTGCTGTATTTGAACATTGACTTCTTCAGTGTCTGAGGAGTTGCAAATTGTGCAGTCATCATTGAACATCCCGACTTCTGACCTTAAAATGGAGGGAAGGTCATTACTGAAGTAGCTACAGATGGTTGAGCTTAGGACGCTACCCTGTGGAACTCTGTGAAGATGTTCTGGAGCTGAAATGACCAACTTCCAACCACCACACCCAACATTCTTCTCTGTTGAGTAGGACTCCAACCTGTAGTGTTTTCAGATTCCCATTGACTTCAGTTTCGCTAGGGCTTCTCAAATGACTCAGTCAATCGCAGGCTTGATGCCAAGGACAGTTACCCTCACCTCACCTCTAGAATTCAGCTATTTTTTCCCTCCATGTTTGAATCAAGATGATCTGCAGGAAGCCTTGGCTTAAAAACAATTCCAGTGTCCATAGCAAACTTTCAATGACTGCTTTTGAAAACAACTCCAGATATCCCCATAGAACTAGAAAGTCAATGTTTCACAATCCTTCAAAACTTGGAAGTCCTTCCAGCAATTTAAATATAAAGTATCTTTGTAACACTAACAGCCTTGAATACATTCAATGACCCAGCCCCTCTAGGGAAGAGAATTTCAAAAAAGAAAAGATCCTGGTAGAAAAAGACCCCATACCAACAGTAAACAGGACTAACATGATATACAGAATCCCATGTAGCGAGTGCAATAGTCATTACATTGGACAAATGGGAAGGAAACTGACGACCAGGATACACAAAACCAGCTGGTAGTAAAAAGGCACGACCAATATTCACTTATCTTGATACACACAATGAGGACTATCAGTTTGACTGGGACAAATGAACAACAGACATGCAAGGGAGGCCTGGTTCTCAACACAGGACTCCATTAACAAACACATAAAAATAGACCTCGTACGCAGACCGCTGCTGAAAAACATAACCGGAAGTGACAAGGCCCATCACACCGGAGACCATATAAATACGGAACAGAGCAAAACACTAACGCTTCGATTAGAGGTTGCACTGATGATGTTGCGTAGAATGGTAATGAAACGTCTGCACACCACGGAACAACTGCATCCTGGCAGAAAATAAATTCTCATTTCATTTTTTAACTTTTAAATGGCATCTCTGTTTTAGACATCACCACAAGAGGAAACATTCTCTCAGCATTCATTGTTTCAAGACTCCTTACTGTTATGTTTCATTAGATTATCCCAAATACTTCTAAACCCTAATGGGTATGGCATGTTATATATTAATACGGCATCTTTCCCATGAAGTAATTGTTGCGGGATCTAGTTACATGAATAATTGCACTTCACACACTTTCTAACATCCTTGGATACACCATTCTTTGCATAACTCATGAACCCTCATATTTGGAACCATAATGCCACATTTTGCAGTGCTAACAATACTTTGCATTATTTAAAGTTTGTGATCATTGTAAGATAATGCATTACCCAAGAATTCTTTAGCAGTCATGTATCCTTCCTATAATGGGGTCTGATTTCAAGGTCCTGCACACACTTCTGTCAATTTCCTGAAAGGCTGGGGATTGTTTAGAAATTAACTTGTAACTGTTGAGTGCAGGTTTGATAGCAGTAGCCTAATAACTGATTAACTATCCCTTTCTTTATTTGCACAAGCTTAGTAAAGGGAGTGAGATGGAATATAACATGTAGTAACTGATGAAAAATCAAGACAACCTCATGTCAATACTACACCGAGATTAGAAAACTTCTGAAATTACTAAGAAATCTTTGGAACAATTATTAGCAGAACACTGATAAATCAAAAGCTGAAAATCTGAATTAAAAATGTGAAATTCTGGAGAAAGTCAGCAGTTCTGGGAACTTGTAAGGAGAGAGAAAAACAAGAGCTCATATGGAGTCTAAAGTTTCCTCTTCAGAACAGAATGTAGCATGCCCCTGTAGTATGTACCTGTCATCAGTAAATAGTTATTGATATTAACGTTAAGATAGAGGTCTTTGAAAACTTTATTTGTTGTCATGCTGCCCTTTGAAGTTTCATTTCAAAATCATTCAATGACTGGGTATACCATGTATTTGATTAATGAGCATTTTAATAGTAGAAATCACAGCCTATCCTCCCAAATTAAGATCACCTGCCGGCCCAAGATAAATAGCAAAATTCAATATTTTATCTTTTATTTAAGTATTCCTTTTGACATTTGAAAATAAACAATATTTACACAAACTAATTACATTCAAGTCTTCAATTGCTCACAGCCCCAAATAAAGAAGCCACATGGAAAATTGTATACATTAATTCTCAGCCATGAGCTCCTGCTAGCTCAGCAGACAATCCCTTGCATCTTCAAATGTGCGGCAAAATTGAGGAATAAATAAAAGTCCCATTCAAATGAAACCAGATGCAGTGTGCACAGTCAGAGACTTGCATATCAGGTGCTAAAGTGAAGCAGCAATTTTTGTTAAAATACACTTACAACCTTAAAACAAAGTGGCATTTTTGTTTCATGTTCATTTCCACAGAACAAATTGGCCTAGAGGAAATTAATTACTGTTAAAGCCACACTGAATGCGGAGAGCTGAGCTGGTGAACCGTATGAGTTTTAAAATTCTTTAACCAACAAGTCTGAACACAATCAAGGAGGCACAATTTTTCTGTTGTAGGCTCACAATTTCTTAAAATTACAAAAGCAAAATAATTATTTTGCCTCATTTAGCATGCCAGCCCTCCAGCGACTCCTCTTGCAATTTGCTCCTCTTCTCATACTTTCTTTCATTTTCACGATCTTTGTTCCAGTCTTTGAGACCCTCGGGGAGGGACGTGTCTTCCTCAAGGCTTCCTGTTCCTTCCACAAACTCCTCATATGTTGACTTCTCTGCGAAGGGTCGAGGTCCCAACAGTTCAATCATGTCTGCCTTGTCTAATACCTCTTTTTCCAACAATCGCTGAGCAATCTAAAATTTGCAAGAAAACAAAACAAACCTGATTTTTTTTAAGGTTATCAGAGTCATACAGTCATACAACATGGAAACAGACTGTTTGGTCCAACTCGTCCATGCAAACCATGTTCCCAAACTCAAATAGTCCCATTTCCCTGCACTTGGCCCATATCCTTCTGAACCTTTCCTATTCATGTACCTGTCCAAATGTCTTTTAAATGTTGTAACTGTACCTGCATCTGCATCTACCACATCCTCTGGCAGTTCATTCCTTATATGCACCACCCTCTGTGTGAAAACATTGCCCCTCAGGTCCCTCTGTATGAAAACACTGCCCCTCAGGTCCCTTTGTCTTTCTTCTCTCACCTTAAACCTAGGCCCTCTAGTCTTGAATTCCCATACACTGGAGAAAAAACCTTTGCTATTCTCCTTATCTATGCCCCTTGATATTATAAACTTCTATAAAGTCACTCTCTCAACCTCCTACACTCCATGGCTAAAAGTCCCTGCCTATCCAGTCTCTCCTTCTAACTCAAACCCTCCAGTCTTGGTAACATCCTTGTCAATCTTTTCTCTACCCTTCCCAATTTAATAATATCCTTCCTATAGCAGGGCAACCAGAACTATACACATTGCTCCAAAAGTGGCTTCACCAATGTACAGACACATCATGACTCCCCAACTCTTAAACTCAATGGTCTGACCAATGAAGGCACGTGTGCCAAATGCCTTCTTCACCACCCTGTCTACTTGTGATGCCACTTTCAAGGAATTATGTACCTGCATCCCTAGGTCTCTCTGTTTAACATTCCCCAGGGCCCTACCATTAGCCATCTAAGTCCTCCCCTGGTTTGTCTTACCAAAATGCAATATCTTGCATTTATCCAAATTAAACTCCATCTGCCACTCCTTAATCCATTGGCCCAGCTGATCAAGATCCCGTTATAATCTTAGATAACCTTCTTCATTGTCTACTATACCACCAATTTTGGTGTCATGCACAAACTTAATAACCATGTCTCCCAAATTCTCTTCCAAATTATTTACTTAAACAACAAACAACAGTGGACCCAGCACTGGTCCGTGCAGAACACCACTGATCACAGCCCTTCAGTCTGAAAAACTACCCTTTACCATCACCCTGTGTCTCCTACCATCAAGCCAATTTTGCAGCTATTGGCTAGCTCTCCCTGGATCCCATGTGATCTAACTTTACTAACCAGTCCACATGGTTACTGAAAGAGCTCAGTAAAGAAATTCCTTTATGTGTGAGGGAAACTAAGACTAGGGATGATGAAGACAAAATAAGTCTAATGTGGAATCCAGGAGACTGGTTTATCCAGAAATGTGGAACTAGCTACAAGGACTAATTTGAGGTGAATAGCATTGATGCATTTAACAGGAAGGTTGATTAAAAACATGCTACTAGGGTTAGACGAAGGAGAGTCAGAGGAAGTTCATTTGAAGCATAACCAATAGTCTGTATTTATCAGTACATTCCATGCAATGCTATGAAATAATAGCATGGAGAAAGACATTCAAAACCTCACCACAGTTAGCTTGCAATCTCAAATTACTGGGTGGAGGTTAGGAACTGCTTGAAGTGGCAGGTAGGGTGCAGAAGAAGGGATCCAAAAGAATGCCACTGCCTTAAAGCAATGTCCCAAACCTCCAAAGGTTACACCGTCATATTCAATATGTACAAATAGGTCATCTATAGAGCTCTAGCTGATGACACGAGGATGGGACTTTTAAACAAAATAGATGGATTGCAGTTGGACATCAAATCATTTTACAATTACAACTGAACAATATCATAACCTAAATAGGATAAACAATATGTTCCAGCTCTAGAATTTCAAAGCAAACTGTAAACAGCTACAATAAATCAGGATCAAAGAAAGTTAAAACAATGATTAAAAGTAAGTAAAAACCAAAAGAACTGCGGATGCTGTAAATCAGGAACAAAAACAAAGTTGCTGGAAAAGCTCAGCAGGTCTGGCAGCATCTGTGGAGGAGAAAACAGAGTTTACGTTTTGGGTCTGGTGACCCTTCCTCAGAACTGATGGTGGCTGGGAAAACGTCAGTTTATATGCAGAAAATAGGGAGGTGGCTGGGGTAGGGAGTAAACGATAGGATAGAGCGCAAAGGGAGAGAAAGACAGTTGGACAGACAGAGGAGTTGCTAACGATCAGGCTGGGAGGGTGAATAGTTGTTAATGGGGACTGTTAGTGACTAACAACAGGGGGTGTGTAGTGGCAGGCTATGTGGTAAGAAGGCCTGGTGTGTGGGGTGGGGGGCTGGGACATGGGAGAGTTTAGGCCCTAAAATTATCGAACTCAGTATGGAGTCCGGAGGGCTGTAGGGTCCCCAAGCGGAAAATGAGGTGTTGTTCCTCCAGCTTGCACTGGGCTTCACTGGAACACTGTAGCAAGCCAGAGACAGAGATGTTGGCCAGGGAGCAAGGCGGTGCATTGAAGTGACAGGCAACAGGTAGTTCAGGGTCTTTTTTGCCAGCAGAACGTAGATGTTCTGCGAAGTGGTCGCCAAGTCTACGCTTCGTTTCTCCAATGTAGAGGAGACCACATAGTGAGCAGTGATGCAGTAGACTAGATTCTTGGAAGTGCAGGTTAAAGTGTTGCTTCACCTGGAAGGTGAAGGCCCCAAGGTGAAGGGTATCCAAGTGCCCAAACATACCTTCCATCCAGAAGATCAGACGCCATTTCCGCCACCTCCAGCAAGATGCCACCACCAGACACATATTCCCCTCCCCTCCCTCGTCCGCCTTCCACAGGGACCGTTCCCTCCGGGACACCCTGGTCCATACTTCCTTCACCCCCAACACCTCTCCACAGCTCTACGGCACCTTCCCCTGTAACCGGCGAAGGGCAACACCTGCGCATTTACTCCTCCCTCCCCAGTATCCAAGGGCCCAAACATACCTTCCAGGTGAAGGAACACTTCACCTGCACTTCCAAGAATCTAGTCTACTGCATTCACTGCTCACCATGTGGTCTCCTCTACTTTGGTGAAATGAAGCGTAGACTTGGCGACCGCTTCGCAGAACATCTACGTTCTGCTCGCAAAAAAGACCCTGAACTACCTGTTGCCTGCCACTTCAATGCACCACCTTGCTCCCTGGCCAACATCTCTGTCTCCGGCTTGCTACAGTATTCCAGTGAAGCCCAGTGCAAGCTGGAGGAACAGCACCTCATTTTCCGCTTGGGGACCCTACAGCCCGCCGGACTCAATATTGGGTTCAGTAATTTTAAGGCCTAAACTCTCCCATGTCCCAGCCCCCCACCCCACACACCAGGCCTTCTTACCACATAGCCTGCCACTGCACACCCCCTGTTGTTAGTCACTAACAGTCTCCATTAACAACTATTCACCCTCCCAACCTGATCATTAGCAACTCCTTTGTCTGTCCAACTGTCTCTCTCTCTCTCTTTGGGCTCTATCCTATCGTTTACTCCCTACCCCACCTACCTCCCTATTTTCTGCACATAAACTGACATTTCCCCAGCCACCATCAGTTCTGAGGAAGGGTCACCGGACCTGAAACATAAACTCTGTTTTCTCCTCCACAGATGCTGCCAGACCTGCTGAGCTTTTCCAGCAACTTTGTTTTTGTTCCTGAATAAAAGGTAAGCTTTAGAATCAAGTTACCACAATCTAAACCATTAAGATATTGGCTGCATTATGCAATTTTCATGATTACATAAAGTCTTAAGAGCAGGAAATCTTCTTATTTCTGAAACAATGAAGCTGAGAAGAACCTCTAGCAGTACACAATCATCGGCAATAAGTTTCCCTTTCTCTCCTGCTTGATATAAGGAATGTTTCATGATACAGTTCAGATCCACAGGTGCCGGCAGCCTATGTTAGGTCTTTCAAGAAAGCAATCTTTGTATGTTAGCTCAATTGTAGAGACTGCAGGAAGCCTTGTGAATGACTTTTTTTTAAACCAGATGTAAATAGATTATGCAGACGTATGGCCTATTGGCAACTGATAAAAGGTGATAAAGCTTACTGATTTCTCTCTTTCCTAAGGAATTTAAGGTTACTACTGTCATCAGATTACTAGATAGCTAGCTTAGCACAGACCAGGGATTGTAACTTTGACTTTCCAAGCTCAGCATCATACAATACAGCAAGCCCTATCATCTCTAAACAAAAATTCAGGTATAAATAGAAAATGTATATACTTATGTATTTGTATGAAGACACCAAATGGTATGGGCTGTTACCTTATTTATGGACATTATAGATGCTCACATGCTAATCTAATGAGGGTTAAAAATTAAGCCTACTAGGTTTCCCTTATAGCATGATCCAAAATTGCAAAATTGGCCTTTTAGAGATTAGGTGACTTCTAAAAGTAAATTAGCAATTTGACCTTGTGACAGCTTTGTTACAGTTTCAAAACTTCACAATATAAGCTACTTGGCTGCCTGTGAGGAGTGCTGTCCTTTGTGTGTAAGAAACATTCAGTTTTAACAGCTCTATGTGAAGACCCATGGAGGAAACACAAGTCATGCTTTTCCTGGGTGGCTGCCCAGACAAATCTGACAGAAACCTGAAGAAATCTGCGCACATCCAAATAGTGGAGCCAAGCCAATTTTCCTTCCATTTAAGAGAAATGAATTTGTGGATTAAGATGGCAGGCAGAACAACTTAGCCAGTTCCCACTGTAGCAAAAAATTTTTTGCAATTGTTAATAAAAGGTAGTTTTAAAGTTTTATATCAAATTTTCCAACCTTCTCAATTTCTGCTCTTTTCTCCGTTAGAAGCGACAGAGTCCTCTCATACGCAGAATTGATGACTAATCGCACTTCTTCATCTATCAGTCGGGCAGTGGCCTCACTATATGGCTTTTCTAAAGTCATCTCGCCTTGTCGTGGAAAATCAAAGGAAACCTGGCCTACTTTTTCATTCATACCAAACTGGACAATCTAGGAAAACATCATGAAAATTAAACAGGAGTTTATCACATAGTAACATTGCTCATGAAGCTGCAAAGCCCAAGAATATAGTACACACTCTAATGATCCCATTAAAGGCCAATTTCATTGCAAACCAAGTAAACAAAAATCCTTTTTCTCCAGTATCCTGTGTTAACGAAGGGTAATTTTGACTTGGATGTTCCACAAATTAAAAAAATAAAGCAAACACTCCTCTTGCACTGCAAAATTCCAACTTTTCATAAACAGACTTTCTTTAAGGTGTTTTAACACATGCAAAGAAATGGAAAATCACCAAAGTACTATGGCATGAAACACAGATCTCTGTTCAGTAATGGGGATGAAGGAAATTGAAACCATGGAGATCTAACAAAGTTAGTTAAAATCAAAAGTGGTGAACAAGTGGGGTTAGAGTGAGGAAGGTTGGGGGTCAGGTGATCCAACCTATTGGTGGGCCATCTCACAAGGAATTGCAGGGAGCTACAGAGAAAAGAATCCATCTTTCACTATTTGTTATATTCTTATATGAAGACTACTGCAGAGGAAATTAAGTTACAGATCTCAGGATCAGTGGCCTAAGACAAAAAAAAAATCTTTTTTCATGTAACAAGGGGCAATGTACACATGATAGTGAAAAGCAGAAAAGTCACAGCAGTGAGACAGGGGCTGGAAAATGATGATCTCTAGTGACCTACAAATGCTTCTAGGCCATTTCAAATGGGTGAAATTATAATGGGTAGAAACATTAGTTTACCCTTTGATTACTTTAGCAAAGCATTCGACAAGGTCCCGCATAGTAGTCTGGTTAGTAACGTTAGATCACATGGGATCCAGGGAGAGATAGCTAATTGGGTACAAAATTGGCTTGATGGTAGAAGACAGAGGGTGATGGTACAGGGTCATTATTTGGACTGGGGTGCTGTGACCAAAGGTGTACTACAAGAATTGGTTCTGGGTCCATTGCTGTTTGTCATTTTTATCAATGATTGGGATAAGAATATAGGATGTACGGTTAGTAAGTTTGCCGATGCCACCAAAATTGGTGACGTAGTGGACAGTGAAGAAGGTTATCTAGGAGTACAATGGGACCTTGATCGATGGGCCAACGCGTCGAAGAGTGGCAGATGAGTTTAATTTACATAAATGGGAGGTGTTGCATTTTAGTATGGCAAACCAGTGTAGAACTTACACAGTTAATGGTAAAGCCCTGGGAAGGGTTGTTAAACAGAGGGACCTGGGTGCAGTTCATCGTTCCTTGAAAGTGGCGTCGCAGGTAGACAGGGTGGTGTGTTTTTTTATGCATTTGGCATCCTTGCCTTCATTTGTCAGTCGCTGAGTATAGGAGTTGGGAAGTCATGTTGCAGCTGCACAAGACTGCATACAATTCTGGACTCTCTGCTAAAGGAAGGATGTTGTTGAAATACGAAGGGTACAGAAAAGATTTACAAGGATGTTGTCAGGACTGGAGGGTTTGAATTATAAGGATTGGCTGGATAGGCTGGAACATTTTTCCCTGGAGCAAAGGCTGAGGGATGATCTTATAAAGGTTTATAAAATCATGAGGGACATAGATAAAATGAATAGTCAAGGTCTTTTTCCAAGGATTGGGGAGTCAAAAACTAGGGCGCATAGATTTAAAGTGAGAGAGGAGAGGTTTAAAAGGGATCTGAGGGGCAACATTTTCAGAGGGTGGTGCGTGTATAGAACAAGCTGCCAGAGGAAGTGGTAAAGGCGAGTACATTACAACATTTAAAAGACATTTGGACTGGCACTTGAATAGGAAAAGTTTAAAGAGAAATAGGCCAAATGCAGGCAAATGGAATTAGTTCAGTTTAGGATACCTGATTGGCATGGACGGGTTGGACCAAGGCTTCTGTGCTATGACACTATACTATCAAGACTGGACCAATGTATTTATATAAAATTACCAGTGACCTCAGCATCTCGGCTTTTAATTCAGTTAATATATGAAAAGGGATGAAATCCATGTAAGCAACAGAATAGGACTATGCCAGATTGTGTACATTACACGCAGGGAAGCATCAGTAAGGGACAGGGTGTCACCATTCAGGAGTTAAGGCTGCAATCTGAAGACAACGTGGTTCAGTTCCTGTCATTCAAAGCAGTTAACATAAGGAGTACAAGATATCATTCCTACATAGTTCCTTGGTACATGCCGTCAAATTTGGAATCTAAGTTATACTGCAGTTTGTCCATCCTCCCAATCTGAGATGGATTGATATGGATTTTAACAATGCTCGCATTGTTTAGCCAAACACTAGGCTGAAAACTTGCAGAAGACAGTCAAACTGAAACAAGAATACCCTCAAGATATTCTATATATAAATTTTATGCATTAATGGGATTTGCAGTTAATTAGGAATTAACACTGCAGAAATAATGTTGAGGAGTAAACTGAAATGGAAAAATTGAAACACACCACATTTTATCAAAGTCGTTAGACTAACAACATACCTGAGCATAGGCACTCTGGGTAACCTTTCTTAAATCATCCTGTGCTCCTGTTGTTATTCTACCAAAAAAGATTTGTTCTGCAACTCGTCCGCCTAGTGTCATACACATTCGATCATGAAGTTGCTCTTTACTATACAAATATTGCTCTTTGGGTAAATACTGAGCATAACCAAGTCCTTTCCCACGAGGTATGATGGACACCTAAAAATACAAAGTAAGAACTTCTCAGAACTTTATGTAGAAGTTTGTTGCTCCATTCCCTGTAAATCTCTTCCATTCTCCACAACAATTTGGGATGCCCTTATGATGTAAAAGGCACAATCTTAATGTAAAACTTTTAATGTTTTGAACTAAGGCCCTAATGAGGTAAGGAGCAGATTAGATCCAGATGAACCCAAACTGAGCATTAGTGAACAGTTTACTGCTAACCAAGCACTAGTGATGGAAAGTAGATTAATGGGGTGGTAACTGGCCTTGTTGGATTTGCCTTGCTTTGTGTACAGGATAAACCTACTCGTGGCATTCATGAGGCACTATGAGCTAACAGCAGCAGTAGCAGAACTTGTGGAGCATAAAGTTGCTCTTTGCTTTCAACATGACACTGCATCAGGGGTGGTTGACACCTCTCTGAAAATTAAGACCAAAACGCCCAAAGCAGCTTGCCTCACCTTGTAATCTGTTAAAGGAAGTGTGAAAAGTAGTAGAATCTGCCTCTCACCCCCAAACGGTTATAAAGGAGTGGTTAAATGAAAGAAATCCCTGATACTCACTATATAAGCAACAAGTAACAATTTATCTAACTCTTAACAGTGAACAAATTAACAGAACTCCTAACAAACTGAACAATTCCTTCCTTTAACTACTAACTATTCTCAAATAAAACAAAATTCTAATGGAATGCTGCTTCAGTAAACACAAGCCCCACTTATATAAACCAAAGTAATGAGAAAAATAAATTAAAACTTAAGTCTCTCAAAAATTACAGCCAGGATAAGTCTTCCAGAATGTTCTTGGTCTTCTCTGCTGCTCTCCAGTCATAACACCTTCCTCTGTCAAATTCTTGTGTCAGGAGTATTAGCTAGGAGTGCTGTTGACTGGTAGCACTACTAAGAATGCTAGTTTAAATTAATTGGCTAAATTCAAAAACTTGTCTTGGTAAAAATGCTGCTTTGCTTGCTAACTGTATAGCCATTCTGATACAATGCTTCAATTTCAAGAACACTCTGTGCATCTGCTGCTGCCTGCAGACAAAAAATGCACCTTTTAAAGGGACCACACACTCTTTCCCCACTATACTTAAACAATTTCTAATGTCCTGCCTTCCAATCCACAAGTACTATACCAACTTTGCAACAATCATCCAGCTTGGCCTACCAACTAATCAGCACCCTTTCATCCTGGAACATAAATTGGCGTGATTGCTTGAAACCTGGTATTCCCTATTCCCGTCTCTGTCCCAATTAGAGCACAAAATGTAACCCTTCAGCAACATTTTGATATTTTCATCAATACGCAAGTTTTGTACTATTGAGTATTCTGCAATCGTAAATTTGTATTGATAAGGTGCCTTGAACAAAGAAGGACGTTCCAATATTTTCTTATCCAGGCATCATGTTCTCAAATCTCACATTTGCTCTATTTCTTAAACCATTGATGCATTTCCTCCTTTGTCTCCCTTTTACTCTGCTAGCCTCAATTTTCTCAGTCACTACCAAATGTTCTGGTTTTTCTCTCCTAAATGTTCCAAGAAATTTTATTGTCTCTTGGTGATCATTTGAAAAAGTTCTCCATATATTATTACATAATTCATTGCCCGAATGGGAATATTCAGTAAACCAAGTTAGCACTGAATATTTTAGGCCTTCTAATACAGATATTCTGAAACAAAGGTGCACAGCAGAAATCCCTCAGCAATCTTATAAAATGATTTAGCACTGCAATATTTGCTATGATTTATCTCACCTTCAACAAAGGGTCAGCATGCTCCAGGAACCAACCAGCCACTGCATGGCCTGCTTCATGATATGCTACAGTTTTTTTCTCATCAGGCTGTAGAATCTGGGTTTTTTTTTCCAGCCCTAAATTGGAGGATTAGGGGAAAATATTACAAAGTATAAACATTCACAAAACACAAACCATTTCTTCAGTGAACATTTCAGGCGGAGGAAACATTCATCTCTGAATAAGAATTCTGGAGAACTGCTTCTTTTGCAACATAACACTGAAGACACAACCAAATCAATGAAGTATTTAATAACTTACGATTTACACAAAGTGAATTCAAGTCAGGATTAAGTGAGTTTGCCATTCAGATCTACACACAACACAAAGCAAATAATAGCATTCTTTTGGATTACTGCTTCACCACTGGGACTTTCAGCCAGTAGAGTTGTGGCCATACAACCTCATTACTCCATGCTTGTACCGGAAGTCTTTCTGGTGTGGTGGATCTGCACTATAATCTCAACCCTCTTCATTATTTTATCTGTTGTCAAGTGGGAGTTCTAGCTAAGTCTAAGTTATTTGTCAATATTACGGACAGAAGACAGCCCATACTCAATTTAAAAAAAGATGCTGTTCACCTGGGTTGAAAAGGAAGACTTGCATTTATAAATCCATGACAACTGGAAAAAGTAGTTTCCAGTCAATTATGTCATTTTGAAGTGCAGTCACTTTAATAAGTTAGGAAACACAGCAGCCAATCTGCACTCAGCAACATCTCACAAGGATGTGGCAATAATCAAAATATGTTGTTTTTTTAAAAAATTATTTCAGGGATAAATATTGGCCAGAGTACCCTGCTCTACTTTGAAATATTGACATGGGATCAGTTTGCTTTTCCAGTTTTGTCTATTTCAATCTGTCTGACAACCTACCACTTCTAGACTTATTCACAAAGTTCTACACGTTTCTTGCTTGTCTTTTTTTAAAAATGACATTTTGAACATTGGGTCAAAGCAGGCTTTACCAGAAGTAATGTATTTTTATGCAAATAACCAGCTAGCCGTTGGGGATATAATTGCTCAGTGTTCACTATCTGGAGCGTTTTTTCTGTCTGGCATCACTGGCTAAGCCAGCATTTATCATCCATCCCTAATTGCCCAGAGGATATTTAAGAGTCAATGACATTGCTGTGGATCTGGACTCACGTAGGCCAGACCAAGTAAGGATGGTAGTTTCCTTCCCTATCTCAGTGAAACGGCTGGATTTTTGACAATTGACAATGCCAGGATTCAAATCCGGGTCCCCAGAACATCATCTGTTCTCTAGATTAATAGTCTAGTGATAGTACCATTAGGCCATCACCTCTGCTTAAATCTGTTTATTTTTAAAATCTCCAAAGAGGGGAGGGGGTGACAAAAACAGGCTCATGCAGGGAGAAAATGCATGGCAGCAGTTTGCTGTTTTTAGCAGTCTTCAAACACTGAGAGTGTAGGAGTATAATGCCTCAGATAGATGTCTGGCAACAATTAAAGCAGCTTCATTTAAAAGTCAGTGAGAAGGAAACTCCAGAAGTAGAAGGGTGTGGAGGTTTCAGAGAGGAAGCCCATACTACAGGGTTGTTGAAGATAAGAGTTTAGGGAACCTGCGTAAAGCCATAAATGAGCTGAGTTAGTAGTTTGTTTTAAGGGTCTTGAGGAGAAACAGTAACAAAAGAAAAAAAATCAAGTGAACTCACAGCAGTTTACCAAAAGGAAATCAATGACAGCTGTGCAAGAAGCTTTAGTGTGGAGGAAGGTGTCACTCTTCAGTGAGGCTGACTGTTAGAAAGGCTATTGCTGGGATAAAATAAATTAATCTTTTTGATAGCTGGAATGATATTGTTCCAATAGTTCTTGAATAATGTAATATTAGTTTGTGATTTTCTTTGTGTAATTCTTTTTATGTTGTTTTGTTACAAGTACATCAGCAGCCTTTATGAATATGTTGCGACTGACCTTCATGGTAAACAAAAAAGAAAAATAAATCTTATGGTCTATAAGCTAGCTTTCACTTTGGAATCTTTGTCTACCATCAACTGGGAACATTGCCTATTTTCTACGAGATGTGCAGCAGCACACTGGGTGGCCAATGCCTTGAATTATTTTCCTTACAGAGTTCAAGGAGGTAACTTGTGTTATTAGAATGAGAACTTGGCCCACATTTCAATGCACATGCGACCAGTTCTCTACACAATTTATTGAAATATCAATAAGGTGGCTGCAGATATTATTTATCTATGAATTCTTTGTTTCAATACTGATGCCTTAAATGTCACTGATAATATATCAATATTCAGAGCACTGAAATTCTTACCTCCAATTACACGCTCAATAGCCTGTTCAAAGTGATTCTGTATAATGGCCTCAGATAGATGTCTGGCAGCAATTAAAGCAGCTTCATTGCATACATTCGCAATGTCAGCTCCTGAAGGAAAACAAACCAGCAAGCACAGAAAAATAATTCACTTCCAGCAAGACATTCCAAAAGCAAAAGTCTTCACTGGCAGAAAGTAATGTTTCACTGGAAAGTAAACCAACATTTTCAGACATATGTGTTTCACCACTGACAGATCCAGAGAAACTACACTCAGTCCTCGTTATTTGGTGATTCACGACCTGTGGATCCATATACTCGCCAAATCAGCCCCAAAACCCATTTTTTTTTCCCTTTTCTGACACATCCGGCCAGATTGCATGATCCATAAGAGTTACAAAAGAGCAGTATCCAGGTTTTTTTTGTTATCTGCGGGAAGACTGTGCTCCTATCCCCCACAGACAATGAGGATTTGGCGTATTGCCTCTGGTGTGGACATCTAGAACAAGGGGGTACAATCTTAAAATTAGATCTGAAGTATTGAGGAGTGAAATCAGGAACCAATTTTGCAGATAAATTAATAATGGAAATCTGGAATTCTCTTCCCCTAAAGGCTGTGCAACTGGCTCAAGCGAAACATGTAAGATAGAGATCGAGCCCCCAAGAGTAGTCATCTGCTTCATACCTGCCCCAATTGCCACAGCATTTATATAGCTAGTCTAGTTAAGTTTGTGCTCAATTCCCAGGATGTTGATGGGGTTTGGCAATGGTAATGCCATTCAATGTCAAGGGTTTAGACTCTCCCTTGTTGGAGATGGTCATTGCCCAGGCCTTGCACCATTTATCTGGCAAAGCATAGATGTTGCCCAGGTCTTGTTGCAGGCAGACAAGAGCTAGTCCATTACCTGAGAAATTGCAAATAAAGCCAAACACAGCAGAATCATCAGCTCACTCTGCATTTATGATGGAGGATAGGTTTTAATGAAGTAACGGAGGCGGGGACTAGAGCAGTACCCCGAGGAACTATTGTAGTGATGTGCTGCAGCCGAGATTAGATTCCAACAATTACTAATATCTTCTTTTACGCCAGGAATGATTCCAGTTATTTGGATGGTGTTCCTTAAATTCCCACAGACTTCAGTTTAACTAGTGACTGTGGGCTGTAAATGTTTCCATTTTTAGGTCTAGTGTCATTTTCGACATGATCCACAGCAGGTAATCTGTTATAACACATTGCAACTTTCTGAAGCAATCATCTGCTCTTCAGCTCATTAATTATACACCTGGCCTCTTTGGTGCTTAGCTCATGCCATCGTACAGGAATGGTGAAAATAGTGAAACAGGAACTGAACGAACGAAACACACAAGTACTGTTGTAACAAGAGCAGGTCATAGACTAAGAATCGTACAGTGAGTAACAGACTCATGTCCATCATCTACAAGGCCCAAGTCAGGAGTGCGAAGGAATACACTCTAATTGTCTGGAGGAGTGCAATTCCAACCACATTCAAGATGCTTGACACTGTACAGGACAAAGCAGATCACTTGACTGGCACCATTTCCAGACATAATCACACCCTCCACCATAACCATTTCCATCTAGAAGAACAAGAGCAGCATATATGTGGGAATATCACCACCTGCAAGTTCCCTTCCAAATAACTCAGCATCCTGACTTGGAAATATCTCTATGCTTTCAGTGTTACTGGGTCAAAATCCTGGAACTTCCTTTGCAAATGAGACAAAGATGGGTGGAGGGGCAAGTAGTGTTGAGGAAGCAGAGAAGTTGAAGGAGGACTTGGACAGGCTTGGAGAGTGGACAAAGCAGTGGCAGATGGAATACAATGTTGGAAAGATTATGCACTTTGGTAGGAAGAATGGAGGCACTGACTATTTTCTAACCAGGAAAAGGCTTTGGAAATCTGAAGCACAAAGGGACTCTGGAAACCTAGTTCAGGACTCTCTTACGGTTGTGGAGGTGACAGTGCGGAAGGCAAAGGAGAAAAGTAGTATTCTTATGATTTTTTTCAAACTTGGAGAAGCGATATATAAATTTAATTCAAAGATTGAAAAATAAACTTGAGAAAATGAAAGGATTCAACTATAAATTCTGCAATTTTGAAAAGGAGGAAATTATTTCTGGACTATTGACAGGAGTATTAACATTTACCTGTAAATCCAGGAGTCAAAGCTGCTAATTTTCTTGCCAAATCCTCGCCCTTGATAGAGGTTTCTAATTTCAAGGGCTTGAGATGAACTTTAAAAATTGAAGCCCTTCCTTTAATGTCAGGTGGTCCTTTATTAAGACAAAAATAAGACTGCGAAATTAGTATGGGAGGGCTTTAAGTAAAAGGTTGTATCAACACAATCTACTCATTGTCTGCTTCAATAATTTTCTAGAAGTGTGAGGTGACTTGGAAATGCACAAGAGCAGGGCTGATTAACAGGTCTTCCACTTTTCCCTGCCCATGGTGAGAAGCTCAATTTGCCACACATCCTTTTCCAAATGAAAATGATAACGATAGCATATGCAAGGTACAACATTTGTTCTGTTCTACCCACTAAAATGCTTTGTTAAAACAAGATAGATATTATATAAAACATGGGATAGTGCCAACCTAGCCTCCCGATTGGAACTAATACAAACTGTGTTGGTTTCCTTGGCCTACACCAAACCATGAACACAACATTGAACAGCTTGCTCAACCAACTCAACCAAGTTATGACTTTCTCCCTGGATTTCTTTGAAAATGTAGGTTTCACACATTTCATAATAGCTACCAGAACCAATCTATATTTAATTCATTTTTAAAATTCAATTTTCTCCATCTTTATTTAGAGCCTCCCACCTCTTTCCTCAATATAGTTTTGTAGCCAGGACAAATTTGCAAGTGCTCTACCTTAAACAATCACAATTTCCAATACAGCATGGAAAGATGGGCCGCACATCACACCAACTGTGATCTTACCCTCAACTGACTGGAGTCTGGTGAGTGTGGGTCCACCTACAGCATATGGGCTGTAGCGGTTCATGGAGGCAGCACACCATCACCTTAAGGGCAGCTAAGGACAGGTAATAATGCTGGCCCAGTGACACCCATGAGTGAATTTATAAAAAGGAACTCCTTGTGCAGCCCAGAGTTGATCACTAGTTGCTGAGCCTGATCAGAAAACCACGTCAGTCTGAAATATTGGGCACAAAGCATCCAAATGAATTTTGCATTGGGAGCCTGAATGCAAGAATAGTGAGTCTTCCAGTTGCTCTTTCCAGAAGGTGATAATTTAACAGTTTGCCTCCAGGTTGCCTGACAGCATGGAGAATGGTTGGGATGACAAAACTGTTTCGTCAGAGGAATGATTTCTACTCTAAGAACGGTATGTTGCAGACAGGTTCACAAGCTGATGGATTTTTGTTTAGGTACGACAATGATGGAAATGGAGATGATATCCCAGCAGCTACTCCCTAGGTTTTGTACTGTAACCCGAGGTCCAGCTGCGAGGCAAGCTATCCCATGGACTGGACAAAGAGAATGGCTTCTCCAAACTAGCATTCAATTTTCCATGAATTATTTTGTAACTGTTAAACCAAGTGTGCACATTTCAAATTCCAATATCTGTTTTGTTGGTGCCATAAAGATAGGTGGAAATCTAAGCTGTGAGGACACAGAGGCTGCAAGGAAATATTGACAGATTAATCAAGTGGGCAATAAGATAGCAAATGGAGCATAATGTGAGAAGTGAGAGATTTACTTTGGACATAATAGAAAAACAGACTATTTCTTAAAAAAAAAAACATGAAACTTGTAAATATCGATGTTCAGGGAAACTTAAGTTTGCTCATGCTGGGAGCATAGAAATGAAACATGTAGGTACAGCAAACACATAGGAAAACAAATGGCCTTTGTTGAGTTTTAGAGAATAAAGACATCTTGCTACAATTCTACTGGGCTTTGTGCAATTTTGGTCTCAATATTTAAGGATGGGGATATACATGTTTTGGAGTTGTTATAGAAAAGATTCACTAGATTGATTCTTGGGATGAGAAGATTTTTTTTTTTAAAAATCAGAGGTGACCTAACTGAAACTTACAAGATTCTGAAAGACAAAGGCAAAAACTGTGGATGCTGGAAATCTGAAACAAGCACAAAGAATGCTGCAGGAATTCAGCAGGTCTGGCAGCATCTGTGGAAACAGAAACAGTTAACATTTCAAGTCTAGAGAATGATTCTTTGATTCTTCTTCAGAACTGTTTCTCTCTCCACAGATGCTGCCAAACTTTTTGAGCTTCTCCAGCATTCTGCATAACATTCTGAAGGTGTTTCACAGGGCGACACAGAGACAGTTTCTGCTGGCTAGGGAATCTAAAATGCTGGCACACAGTATCAGGATAAGGGGATAACCGCTAGGACTGAGATAAGGAGGAATTTCTTCATGTGAAAGGTTGAAAATCTTTGCAATTTTCTTATCTAGAGACTTGTAGATGCTTTTTCATTGAATTGATTCAAGGCTGGGACTGGTAGATTTTTGGTTTCTCAGGGTATCATGGGATATGGGGAGTGGGCAGGGAAATAAAGTAGAAGTTCAAGATCAGACATGATTATGTAGAATGATCGAGTAGGCTTGACAGGGCACATGATCTCCTCCTATCTCCTGTTCTTGTGCTTTACTCTCCTATACATGTATTTTTGCATAAAGTACGTTCTGTTGGTGTCAGCAAGCCTCAGAATAAATAATGCAAGCATCATTTGTTCAGACCTACCAATGAAAATTTGTCTGTCAAATCGACCGGGCCTCATCAGCGCAGGGTCCAGGATATCTGGGCGGTTTGTGCCTGCCAAAACCACCACATTAGTTGCTGTGTTGAATCCTGTCCAAAACAAAAAGCAGTAACAATCTCAATAAAGATTTCATTAATACAACATGTAAACCCTAGTTCTAGATTCTCCCATCAGAAGAAGCATCATTTCAACTCTATCAGGATTCACTTCTACATGTTTCAATCATCACCTCATACTCTTCTGAACCCTTCTTTTAAATAAATTCACTCCACCTGATTTCAAGAAATAATTGGAAGCACTGGAAACTACAAAGGCTATGAGCTCTGACAATATTTCAGCAATAGTACACAGAACTTGTGCTTCAGAACTTGCCACACCTGTTGTTTAGCTGTTCTAGTACAGATACAACACTAGCATTTACCTGACAATGTGGAAAACTGCCCAAGTATGTCCTGTACACGAAAAGCAGAACAAATCCAGCATGGTGTGGTAAAGGAAAATCAGTCTATTCTCGATCATTTGTAAAGAATCATAGAATCCTTACAGTATAGAAGTAGGCCATTTAGCCTATGGAATCCTCACTGACCCTCTGAAAAGCATCCCACCCAGACCCACAACCCCCCCACACCCCACCCTATCCCCATAGCCCTGAATTTCCTGCAGCTAATCCACCTAGTCTGCACATCCCTGGACACTGTGTGCAATTTAGCATGGCCAATCCACCTAACCTACACATCTTTGGACTGTGGGAGGAAACTAGAGCACACAGAGGAAACCACGGGAGAATGTGCAAACTCCACACAGACAGTCACCTGTAGTGGAATTGAACCCATATCCCTGGTACAACGATGCAGCAGTGCTAGCTGCTGAGCCACCGTACCAAGATGGAGGTTGTCATCAATCATGCTAACAAGCAATAATCTGCTCACTGGTGCTCAGTTTGGGTTCAGTCAACTTTTGACCTCATTTATGCCTTGGTTCAAATATGGACAAAACAGCTGAATTCCAGCAGTGAGGAGACAGTGACTGCCTTTGATATCAAGGCTGCATTTGACCAAGTGACATCATGAAGCTCGAGCAAAACTGGAATCGAGGATCAGGGAACACCTTCTGCTGTTTGGATTCATTGCTGACACAAAAGGAATTTGAAGATGGTTGTGGGAGATCAGCCATCTCAGTTCCAGGACATCTCTGCAGGAGTTCCTCAGGGTGATATGCTAGGCCCAACCATCTTCATCTGCTTTGTCAATGAACTTCATGCCATCATAAGGTCAATACTGGGGATGTTCACTGATGACTGCACAGTATGTAGCACCATTCAAGGCTACTGCAGTCCATGTACAAATGTAGCATTACCTGTACGATATCCAGACTTGGGCTGAAAAACAGCAAGCAACACCATGGCCACATAAATGTCAGGCAATAATCATCTCCAAAAAGAGACAATCTAACCATCGCATCAATGGTTTTACCTTCACTAAAGCCCCCATCAACATCTTCAGGGTTATCACTTATTAGAAATTGAATTAGATTAGCCATATAAATACATAGCTACAAGATGTGGGGTTCCTACAGCAAGTAACTCACTTCCTGACTTCCCAAAGCCTTTCCACCATCCACAAATCAGGAGTATGATAGATGGATTCAGTTTCAAGTGTATTGAAGAAGCTTGACACCATCCAGGATAAAGCAGTCCACTGATTGGCACCACATCCACTTTCCCCAGCACCAGAACTCAGTGGCAGCACCGTGTACCATCTATAAGATGCACAACAGAAATTCACCCAACACTCCTTGGACAGCACTTTGTAAACCCGCAACTGCTACCATCTACAAAGACAAGGGTAATAAATGCTTGTGAACACCATCACCTGCAAGTTCCCCTCCAAGCCACTCACCATCCTGACTTGGAAACATACCACTGTTCCTTCAGTGCTGTTATATCAAAATCCTGGAATTCCCTTCTTAACAGTATTGAGAGTCTATGTACAGCACATGAACTGAATTGATTCAAGAAGGCAGCTCACTACCACCTTTTCAAAGACAACTAGGGATGGGTGAAAAAACACTGGGCCAGTTATCAATGTCCACATCCTATGAGTAAATTAAATAAAATGAACATGACCCATTTATGCCTGCTCTCTGCTTCCTGTTAGCTAGCCATATAAATATTCATACAAATATGTTACCCACATATCATGAGCTTTTATTTTCGAAAACCTTGCAGAACAATAACATCTGTGTGTGTGTCAAGGTCAGCAGCATTTCTTTTCCTGTGCTCTTAACAGGAACGTACAGCTGAACACAATGGGAAAGAAGCAGGAAAGCACTTGAAATAATTTCTGTTACTCTGCCTGTTTTGAGCTTCACTTCCATATTTATTTCATTCCTTTTGATGAGTAAGTGGAGGACTGTTACTGATTAATAGAGGGTGAGCAACTTCCTTTGACTCTTGAATATCAAGTTAGTATTTTCTTCTAAATTTACAGCTCTTTCAAAAAAGTGTAATAATAATACGCTTATCTAAATCTTGCTGCAGTTGTCTTTTCTCAATGGTATTTCACAAGAATTCAGACTTCATGATATTTGAAAGATAGCCAGGTTCTCTTGGTATGATATCTTTGATCCTGAATTTGACACATTGTTCTGCGATCAGGCAAATTTAACAAGAATGTTGTACAGGCACAATTCATTTGCTCTGATTTATTTACTTATAAACACAGTGCCCTCAAACCAGCCAAAATCACTTTCCAATAAACTGCAAGTTAACAAGTGATACAGGAGTTTTCATCTGTGATTGATACACAAATGTTGTTTAAAAGCCAATAACTAGCTGACAGAACATGCAGGAGCAGCCGGTGCTATTTCACCTGAGATTAAAACAAAACAAATGACATACAAACAGCAACAGAAGATGTACTAGATATCATTCCTCAACTGGAAAAGCTGCCAGAGCTCACTCTTTGGTAACTTAGAATGTTGACACATAGGGGAATCGCGAGACAAATTTCCATTCCTCATTCTGGACAGAGCTGAGAAAACATATGCTTTTGGCACCAGAAAGATTAGGAACACAACTGTGTGAAGCATCACAGTCATGACTCAAGGATAATTTCACTTGTGATGGGGAGGTCATAAATATAAGGTGGTAACCAATAAGTAAACTTAAAGGGTAAAGAAGTTTCCCATCCTTAACTGTCCATGAATTGAGTGGCTTGGTAGGCCAATTCAGAGGGCAGTTAAGAGTCAAGTCCATTATTCTGGATCTGGAGTTACAAGGTGGGGCAGACTGGATTAGGATGTATGCAACTCATTAGGACCATACTTAGAGCGAAAAGATGGCTGTGGTAGTTGAAAGTCAGTCATCTCAGCTCTAGGATGTCACTACAGGATTTCCTCGGGGTAATGTGCTGGGCCCAACCAGCTTCAGCTGCTTCAATGACCTCACCTCCATCATAAGGTCAGAAGTGGGGGCTGTGCCAATATTTACACACTGTTTAACACCATTTGTAATTCCTCAGTTACTGAAGCAGTCCATGCCCAAATACAGCAAAAACTGCACAATATTTTGGTTTAGGCTGACTAGTGTAAAGCAACATTTGCACCACGTAAGTACCAGGTAATGATCATCTGAACAAGAGAGAACCTAACCATTAACATTCAATGACATGACCATCAATCCCCTACTAACATTGGGCATTTCAACATTGAAGAGTTCCACTGACCAGAAACTGAACTACAGGAGCCATTTAATCCTTTGACTCCAACAGCAGGTCAGAGGCTAGGAATCCTGCACCTCCAGACTCCCAAGAGCCTGTCCAACACATACAGGGCACAAGTCATGAATTTTATGGAATACTCAGGATGAGTACAGCCCCAAGAACATCCTAGAAGCTTAACACCAACCAGGACAGGGCAACCTGCTTGACGGACACATCTACAAACATTCACTCCTACTAGTATCAACACCCAGTAGCAGCAGTGTGTACCACTTACAAGACACACTGCAAACATTCACCAAGGGTCCTTGGACAGCACCTTCTACATCCACGACAACTTCCATTTAAAGGTCAAGGGCACCGATGCATAGCAACACCACCAGCTGCAAGTTCCCCTCCAAGCCACTCAATATCTTGGCTTGGAACTATATCGCTATTCCTACAGTGTCAAAATGCTGGAACTTCCTTCCTAACAGCATTGTGGGCCTAAATACAGCAAACCGACTGCAGCAGCTCAAGAAAGCACCATCATCTTCTCAACAGCAACTAGAGATGGGCAATAAATGATGGCCCAGCCAGCAATATCCACAACCTATGAATGAGTATTAAACAAAAATAGGCAAGATTTCCTTCCCTCAAGGACACTTGTGGACCAGACAGGCTTTTACGATAAACAATGACAATTGTCATGGTCACCATTCCAGGAAGTGCTTCTGCATTCCAGACTGTTATCAGGTGAATGCAAATCGCACTAACTGCCATGGTGAAATGTGAACACTTGGCCCCAGCATATTAGCCACTGGATTACCATTCCAGTCACACTATCACTAGCCCACTGTCTGCCCTCCCAACATACCACAAGGAGTAACTGAGGTAACCAACACGGACGGATTTAACACAAAGGGAGACAAAAAATGAGGGAGAAGGGAATGGAAGCATTTGAGGATAGCAGGAGATGGAGAACAGTAGGAGGTTCATGTGGAGTCCAGGCCTGTTTGACCAATTCTGCATTGTAAAATTATGTAATCTAATGCCCCGAATCTGTCATTCCATGCTGAAGCACTCATGATGAAACATATCTTATGTTCATTACAAATGGTTTTGAACTGCTATGCAAACACAACCCTAAAAGCAAAAAAATCAATGCAGGTATGTTACGATGACAGGTCAGTACCTCAAAAGAACAGTGGATATTTTTAGCCCTTAATTTCAAAATGTGTTTAAAGAAACAAAAAGTGCAGCTGTTTAAAAAAAACTTGTGTGGGACCAATGGGACATGACAGATAAAGATATCAAGAAACTTTTAACAGACTGGAACGTGATCTCTTGCAATTACAAAGATCGTGAGGAGATGATGATCCCTGATCAACAGTAAAGCACCCTTTACAGATTATGTCTCAAACTCCAGACACATTTTGTGTTTTTCCTTTTGAAGAATACAAAAGGACAGGGGTTTAAAAAGTCAGTTTCAACTCTACAGGACTGGATCAGTAGGACTGAATGCTTGCGTGTGTACTAAACTGCATTTCAGCGTTAGCATGCTAGGCAAGCCACTGTCAAAAAACTATCCTCTTGTTACTCTGCTATGCAGCGTTAACTAAAGGGAGACCCTCTGAGACACAGGATGTTGCAGGAATTAGGACAAGGTAACTTCAATCAGCCTACAAAACCAGAAATCTCAACATCGCAGCTACTGATAACCTCCCCTGCAATGGACGCAACATTCAACTATCAGCTCTTCTCAAACATTTCAAATTTGACCCACATATCAGTGGTTTTTAAAAACTTTTGGACTTGCCTCTTATTTCTAATATGTGGCTATATATGCTGCTTTAGTGTTTCTTCTCATGTTTAGTAATTAATTAACTTCTACTTCTTCATAATTCAAGAAAGCCTGGCTTAACTAGTTCCTTTAAGACAAAAGGTCATTTGGGTCTGGGAGAAAGGTACTCACAAGGGAAGGGATCCTTTATGGAAACATAGATACTAGGGACAGAAGTAGGCCATTCAGCCCTTCAAGTCTGGTCCACCATTCAACAGGATCATGGCTGATCCTCTATCTTAACACTATATTCCTGCCTTTTCTCCAAACTCCTCAATTCTTTCGATATCTAAAGATATAACAATCTCTTTCTTGAATATTTTCAGTGACCCAGCCTCCAGTGATAATGAGTCCCACAAGGTGACCACCCTCTGAGGGAATAAATTTTCATCCTCAGTCCTAAATGGCTTACCCATATTCTGAGACTGTGATGGCTGGTTCTAGTTTAGCCAATTTTGGGGAAACATCCTCCTTGCATCTGGTTTGCCTAGCTCTGTTAAAATTTTATACATTCCTATCCTTCTACATACCTAGTAAACACAGGTTCAGTCAAACCAATCCCTGCTCACATCTTGCAATCTTCGGTATCAGCATAGCAAAGTGTCACTGCACTTCCACTATGGCAACAGTACCCTTTCTTAGTAGGGAGACCAATTATAGCTTATCCATGCTGCAACCAACCAAAGGAACTGATGAATAAAGCAGAAAGCCAGTTCATTCCTCCTCACCTTGGGAGCTTAGCAGTTTCAGGTTTCCCATTTGGAGGAACCTTATCAAGTATGATCAGGCCTAAAAATAACTGCAAGTTTTGGCATTCAATTTGGAAGTAGTTACGAAATGAGAAAGCCATTCCCAACCTTCTGTCTTTCTTGCAAAAGTAAAGAATGCTAAAACAGGGAAGTCAGAGGAGGCTGTAGTTGCAAAACAATGCAGGCCCAATGCCCCAACAGGAAGTAATATGACACAATTGCTTTTGCAGCTCCCCAGTCTGAAGCATAGCAAAAAGCAGGAACAAAGAAGAGGCACACAGGCTTTGACTGGAAAGGAGAGAGAATTAAAACTTATGGATGTGGTCAAAATTCACATGAATTTTATTTTGCATCTGCAGCCACAGTAGGCAGGGTATCAATGCTGAGATAGTAGGAACTGCAGATGCTGGAGAATCCGAGACAACAAGGTG